ACACACACACACACACACACACACACACACACACACACACACACACACACACACACACACACACACACACACACACACACACACAGGCCAGACTCTCTCACTCTGTATTCAGCTGCCAGCCGATGATGCCATCCAGAGTTAGGCAGTGTTTGCTTGGAGGAAACATACATCTCAGACACTCGGAGGAGGAGATGCATTTTCCTCAGCAGCCGAGCAGATGTGGAAACCACCTGGCAGTGTGCAGGTGACATGTGTAAGAATCTTTGATGTCCTTTTCCTGGCATGAGTTAAAATGATAAGAACTTAAAAATTCTGTTTTTTTCCCCCATCTCGACTGGCTCAGGTAACCAGAATGCAGAAGAATCAGGAGGCCATCGGGGAATTTGCACTTCTTCGTTTTATGAGCGTTGAAGCATTGAACTAGAATTTAAATCCACTTAATGGAAAGCCTTTTGCTTTTTCTCAGCGGGCCCCAGCCTCTGCTTTTACTATATACTTACACAAGCATAGGTGTAACAATTAACAATAACAAGCCCAAACTCTGAAGAAGTAGGTCAAATGCCATTCTGAGTTTACGAGAAAGCATTTTAAGTGTCACAGAAACAGTATGATATACAGAGGAGCGGAACAAACTTGTTTACTTGCAGAGCTGTTTTTTCCTGCATGCATTTGCCTCCTTTGTAACTCATAACTATAACAGTATCTTGACTCTTATATTTAATATTATTAGATACGATTATTGCACTCTACATGCTTCTACTAATGCTAAGCTATGTTTCTCGAGTCATTAAACAATCATGCAGTCAGTGATGGTCAAGGACCTGCACACTGCTCCGTCGAAATTGGTGAAAATGAAAGTAAAATTTAATCTAGGAACATTGAGTCCCCTATTAAACGTTCATTTATATAAGTTTTTTATATATTTATATAGTTTTGGTATGTGGAGTAAACAAGTAGCCAAATATTTATTATAACTCATAGACATAGCAGATGTCATTAAGAGAATAGTGCAGGAAGTGTCAAATAATTAATAATTTAACAGTGATTATAGCAGCAGTTCAGGCCAGGGGAAAACCTCTGTTTGCACGTATCCGTGTAAAGAAAACAGGCCAATAAAAACACACCAGAATTCAAGAGTGCAAAATTTAAGAAAGGCAAAGTTGATAACAGGGGGATAAACTGTGAGAAAAAATGTCTGCTTCATCTCTACATTCTTCTCCCAACAACAAATCAAATCTGCCCTGAATCGCCGTCCCTCTCACAACTATGTTTGGAAATGTGCTGCTTTCCATCATTTATGTCCCCAACATATAACAAAATTACAAGTCGTTCAGTTTTATCCAACAGAAGATACAGTAGCTCCCTGTGTAGCTCGTGTTACTGTGGATAAAATGGGTCACAAACCACGCCTCTCTTGGGCTTTATTGACTTTTGCTCTAAGCTACATGCACACTAGAAAGAGGACATTTGCAAAACAAAGCCATTAACCTGATTCAAATGAAAAGATGGTTTGTGCACTTTTGGCAAAAAATGTAAAAGATATGTTTGAGTTAACTCTGTGCTGACTGATTTAAAAAAAAGAGGCATTTACATTTTGTTATAGAAAACAGTGGGAATCTACTTTACAGTCAGTTGTTACAATGAATCATTAAAAGGGCTGTAAATACCCCTGATGATAAGAGCATTTTAATAAAACACTACTCCAATAAGACATAAATATGCAACAGATTAGGCAAATCCAAAGGCCACCGTTTTTTTTTTTTTTTTTAAACCACTAAGCCTTTATATTCTTTTTTTCTGACATGTCACCTCCCTGCAAAATGTAAAATCCATTTTGGTTGGAAATGTTTCAACAAGAGATGAATGCAGTTGTGTGTAAGCTGTTTCGAACCATTTAGGATTAGTGTGACAAATAGACATTTTCTCAAAGTGCATCAACATCTCTGCAGCCTTTTGCATGTTTGTGTCCCTAATGCCTTCTTTGGCAATATATACCATGCCTTTTTTTCTCTATACTTTTCAGGTATGTTTGCAGCTTTTGTTTCTGTTTGCAATGTTTCTACATGTCTCTGGATTGCAGAACAGGCAGAAGTGACAGAGTGATTTATATCAGAAATGCACGCAGTATAACCACAAATGGAATCGTTTTTGCAACATGTGAGAATCTAATGGGAAAGAGCGTACACTAAAACACTGACATGTACCCAAGATAATGCAGGCTCTATGCAGGCTGTTTCCTCTTCCTCTTACCTCTTGTTTATAAAATACCAATGTACTCTTAATCTCATCACAGATATGACTTAATTGAGTTTTGGCTCTGTATATGTTTGTTGGCATAATCCTTTACATGTATCCATGCAGGGGGAGGTTTTCTGGCCTGCACTGCCGACATAAACACTGTAGAATGACCTCACACTCACACGCTGAGAACGTCTGACACTTTCTCTCCTCCCCTTTCTCAGTAACATCTGCTCCATCTACGACTTAATGACCCTGATCTTGCTACACGTTTACTCCACATAACAGAAGCAGAACCCTTTCACAGAGAAGGACAGTTCAATTTGGTGCTCAATGTGAATTTTACTTTCATTTTTTATGTCTGTTGTAGTTTCTCAGTCATCCAGGTCATGGTAAATTTTGAAGCTTGTTCCAAATGCAACTGGACTGGTTGAAGATCTTGATAATCTTCAACCAGTCCAGTTGCATTTGGATTAAGTTTCCAATTTCATTTATTTGATTATTTTAGAAGGATCAGTGCAGGGCTTTGACAAACACTCACTGCATGAGTTTTTACGACTTAATGACCATATCATAGAATTAACAGCAGCTTATAGAGACAGTTATATAATATGTAATTAGGCACACAAGATTTACACTTTCCTATTTATCATTACAAAGTAGGCAAATAAAACTTTTCGTTTATAAATCATCAAATTTAAATGTGACGACGACCTCGCTCCAGAAACAGTCATCTGTCTGCTGGTTAACAAATCAATTAGTAGAAATCAGAACGAGGGCTACAACAGGTGGAAACTGTAGAGCGTCAAAATGCAGAACTATTTGTTCAGCCATCCTTCTCAGTGAGAGGAACACACACCTCTGAAACACATTCAAATCTGGAATTTATCAGAAACCAGGCAGAGTTCAAGGTTTGAAAGACAGAAGTAGAAGAGCGGCTGAAACTGAAGCAAGTCTGTAAACATTTGACTGTATCCTCTTTTAATCCTCATTATACAGTTTGTTCTTGAAGTCTCTTATTTGTATTGAGTTGATATAGCATAGCATCACTGTTTCTGTAGTCTAATGCTTCTGTTTTAATCCTAAAAGCCTATATCCAGAGACGGGCTGCAAATTAACCACGAATAGAAACCTGAATGCATGGCATCTACTTTGATGTTGTCTTTTTTATTTTACATATGAAGCAATGTTCATGGCATGTGTCCCTCTTAAAGATATGATTAATTAAAATAAAAATCATGAAGATAAAAGCTCTTCAGGTAAACAAGTCCACGCCAGTCCTCAACACTTTACATGCTCGTATTAACAAAGAACACTGTTGTAAAGGCACAGCTTGTCCCACTAACATCTTGTTTTCATTCACTTTTATTAACTTTATTAACTGGAGCTCTGCATGACTGACTGACTAGTAATCAAAGCAGTCTTTTAACTCCCTGCTGCTGTCTGTGAAGCTGCTGTCAGTGTCCTTGAGCGGGTTTAATGGCAGCAGTGGCAGAGAGCAACAAAAAAAATAGAGAGATTGGACGGGATAAAGAAGCATTTTCCTCCAGAACGTCCTGGAAAAGTCAGACCAATCAATAGTTGCAGGATTCATTCACAGACTTCATAATCAGCTCGTCATTTTCTTCGGCTTCTAGAGACTCTGTGTACCACTGGGAGCTGTCCTCGACTGACAATGACGGATGGCGTGTTGACCTTGAACAACACACCTGAGGTGCTGGAGAAGTGGAGACTTAAATCATGGCAGGCACTCCTCTCAGCAGGTCACAAGAAAAACCTTTTTTAACCTCTCTCATCTCAGCATGTCTCATCTAACACCTCTGAGGCCCCGATGGATCACAAATAGCAAGAATTTATCTCGATAACTTTAGAGGAAGTTATTCCAATATAAGTTTGACATTTTGGTATCAGTCAGTGAATCTGTCTCTTTGAACAGAGGCCTGATATGAATAAGAAGTGTCCCGAGGGAGATGACTTGTCAGTCTAGTCAACATTTTTGCTTAGCCACCATGTTTTTTTCCCTTTAACCCCTCAGAAGTTCCTGACCTCAGTGAACATTACTCACTAGCAGTGAGCTGTTTTTCTGCCTTTCTGAAGGGTCCCATTTGAAGGTTTAAAAGTGCCTGAGAGGTCTAAACATCCAAAATCTCACAAAAAGGCACAATGTGAAAAATAAAATTAATTACCAATTGACTGGTGTTTTAGATTTACTATAGCCACAAATGAAATGAGTTCACCAAAACGCATGCATTAATTCTGCTATCAGTAAGGTAACTTAAACTGTTGTTTGCTGAAGATGCTATCTAGTAGAGTTGTATGTAATCAAGACCACACTAAGCAAGACCAAGATGTACCCGAGACCAGAGTGCTCAAAGACCGAGACAAGACCAAGACCAAGGCAGGGCGAGACCGAGACAAGACCAAGGCATAAATATCACTGAAATATCATTAACTTGTGTGTAGGGGGGCGTGTTACTCACTTTGACTGTAACACCGGGAAGGTTGCGGCCGTTACCGGGGGATACAAACGAAATTCTGAATGAATTGAACTTAATTGTTCTTTTAGAAGGAGGGGTTTTCCTTGGTGGTGGTGGTCTTGATTTCAAATCTGCTCAGTCCGAGAGCGAGTGATAATTCTTCTGATTCCGAGACGAGCCCTTCAAAAAGTTGTCTCGACCGAGTCCGGTTTTGATTACTACAACACTACTATCTAGTGACGGTGCTAAAAGGAGAACACAAGACACAGACAGATGCATCAAGAGTTTGGTTTTTTTAAAAACAACTTTATTAATACTTTGTCTTTTGTTAAAAACAGAATATATCAAAAGGATTCCTCTCCAAGAATTACTTTACAGAGCATAGTGGCTTTTGCTTCAGAAAACAGAAACAAATCCCTACATGTACAATGTGAAAAATAAAAAGTCCTTCCCCTGCAGTGACTGAGCTTAAATCAAGTCAGCATTAAAGAAATTCAGTTTTTCTTAACAGAAAAAAATATCTGTGGAAAGTTTATCATAAACAAGGTGTTGCTGCTACATTAAGGCCAAACTCCCCTACACACATGTGGAACATCTCCTTGGTAAAGTGACAATGTTGTGGTTTCTCTCTCTTTTTTTTTTAAATATAGTCTTTGAAATTAAATAAAATGTGTAAATGAAAAAGCTTTTCAAAAGCAAGCAATTATTGCACAGATAGATCTCCTAGTACCCTTTTATAAAAGTATCAGAAAATAACTGACTAGTTCAAAAAGATGAGTGGTGTTTTTAGAGGAAGCAGCTACAGGACTATTTCCTGATTGTAAATAACCCTAATAATGGTTCTTAGGCTCTGAATTTCTGTTGGCATAGAGATAAAAACAAAAAAACAAGTTAAAGGTGCAGCGATTATAAAACTAGGCTTGTTGTTTTGGACAAGAGGCAGTTAGACAACAAAACCAGTTTTCAAGGTGAACGAGGTTGTGGGAGTGTCAGTGAAGTACTGCACTTCACATCCACAGTCATAGTTCTGCTGGGCTAAAAAACACTTAAGAGTCTGATTTACCCCACAGATAATCTGACAGGACCATGTGGCCTGCTGTGTCTCATTCGTATGCAGAGCTGCTTAACCTCTAAAAACACTCTAATTGGCTGGAAAACATGAAAAACAAATAAGAAATTAAATATATATATATATATATATATATATAAAAAAGAAAAAGCCTTTCACTCTGTTATTTCATAAAATTATGTTCACATAAAAACAGAGAAGCTTTAAAATGTCAGAAAGCATTAAAAATGAAAAAAATAAATCAACCGTTATGTACAGTTTTTAGATATTCAAAAACACACAAGTCCATCAAATGGTTCGGTTTCTGGGGCTAGGAGACCTGATATGGAGCAAAGACAAAAAAAATAAAAAAATATGACTAGGTAATCTGTATCAGGTCAACTGATGCAATAATTTAAAGACAAAACGAGCCTAATCTAAAAACAATGTTTTGGCAGGGGATGATGTTTAAAACGTACAAGATCTGGACGCAGTGACACTCAGCCAGTGGCAACAATACTTAAAATGAGTTGAAATAACAATTAAACTCACACACACACACACAGTAGCTGAGGGAGTGGTTTGAGTGCGTCCATCCTTCGATTACGTCGCGTCTCTACATGTTTGGTATCTCAGACGGACAAGAAATGTTCCTTCTTTGTGAGACCTTGAAAGCGGGCTGGTGTGGCTCAAAAAAAAAAAAAAAGGAGTTCATGCTGGAGTTTTGGTGGAGTTGCTTTTTATGTGTGGTAGATCTTGTGTTCGAACTCTGTCGACGAGCAGCTGTGGGGGGACGCCATTTCTCTGTGGATGGGTGTGGGAACGCTGCTGCGGTGCTGCTGGTGGTTGTCGGTCAGCGTCAGGCTCAACAGGCTGGTGCAGGTGGGAAGGTAGATGTGCTGCACATGTTCCACCTCCGAGCGACACACGGGACACAACTGAGGATGAAGGAAAGACGAGCGTTATGAGCCAAGAAGGTTTCTGTTCTTATAATTAAAGTCAAAGGGGGGGTGGGGGTGGACTGTAAACAAAACAAGAAGGGCCAAAGCCAGCAGAACAATAAAGTCATCACTCAGGTCGTCCGGCCAACAGCAGCGTTAAGAATTAAAAACATGTGACTGAACGAGAAACAGTAAAAAGCAAGAGAAGCCAAGTCAAGAGAATGAACAAGTGGAACTTATTTGTTTAAAGTAAAAACTGTTTCCACAATCACAGTGGATCTTTCCTTCCAATTTTCTCTTCTAGATTTCCGTCTATTAGCCGGGCCACGTATCTCAATCGAGCTAATAGATGTGAGACTTGGCTGCCCGCTATAATCCTTCAAAAGACAACTCACACACACATACCATCTGCTTCCACAAAGACAGGAAACAGTTAGCTGATTAACAGGGAGAGGGGGAAATCAGGTCAGCAGAGTGTAAGCAAAGCTTTAGACGTTGAGTAAGGACAATAAAAAGGATCACAAGTTGAAACTGTAGTGTAATTAAAGAGCTTTTTAAAGTAATAGCTCAGGAGTCTTGAGCCTCGAGCCAGAAATAAATCACAGCAGTTTCTCTGGTTTTTAAAGCCCTTCCTTGTTGACAAATTCATTTTTATGTAAGGTTTTGTTGACATCGCTGTATAGCTAATGCCAGCAGTACTGTCAACTCTTAGGAGGTTCTCACACTAGACAATCTGACCGTGCCTAAAAACATGTTTGACCCCAAGTTCAGTTTGTTTGACTAGTGCGAGTGCTCCATACCGTGGCTCAGGCACGATACACTTTCTTACTTCCTTTTTGTTGCTCATACAGAAGCACAAGTTCGGGTAAGCAATGTGGACACGACGTACAATCGATGGAGCCTTGTGTAATCCAGGTAAACGATTAAAAATGAGCCAACGAGCTCTTTGTAAACTTAAAGAGGCTTTATGATGACGTAAATCCAAGCGTATGTTCTAATACGACTTTACATTGAGTTGACAAGCCTGAATAAATGTTGTATTTCATTTTTTTTAACCAGTAAGAATGTTAAGTTAAATCCTTAATGTATAAATCTCTTCTTATATATTTTAAGTGCTTATTTACTATGCATTTCTATTCTTATATTGTTTCATTTGCTCTGATAACATGCTGCTGTAACACCACAATTTCCCAGTTTGGGATCAATAATTCTATTCTATTCTGTTTTGTTATGTCCAAGAGGTAACAGTGCTGAGGCCTGGTTGGGTCTGGCTCAGTGTGAGTGCAGACCAGCAGGGGAGGGGGGACAATCTTGCTTCAGCATGGTACAGGGCAATTTGGCCTAGTGTGAGTGCGCCCTCAGTCTTGCAATGGGGCTCAAATAACTTTAAAAAGCATCGAGCACTGTCAGAATGAGAGTAGAGGAGCCTCACCTGGAGCTGATTGGCACAGGTCTGGCAGCACACCATATGTCCACAGGGGCAGAACGCAGCGTCTATCTCCTCCTCGCAGCACAGCATGCACAGCAGAGCCTCTCTGAGCTTCTGCAGACGCTCCTGCAGGGCTCGGCTCTGCTGGCAGCTTCCACAGTCCAGCTCCTCGTCCTGCTGGTCGTCTCTGCTGGGGGAGCGCGAGGGAGAGGAGCGGTCGCCGCTGCCGGAGCGGGACATCAGGTCCACGACTCCGGAGTTGTAGAGAGCGCGGCGGGCGTGGTCGTACACCTCCTTGGACGTGCGTCGAATGTCAAAGACGTATTTCTTGCCCAGGTTGATGTTCTCGTTGAGGAAAAGTGAAGCCAGGTGGCCTTTAAAGTCTCTGCTGTACTGCATCATCACTGCATTGGTAACTGTGTCACACCTAGAGAGGAAAACAAGACATGATTTAAAAACATGAAACACATCTCCAGTAAAACCCACAACATCCATTTATAACCCAACTGTGTTGGGACTATCCTGTACAGATTCCAAAATCACTTTTTGGTTCAAACAGCATGAAGACATGCCTGCAAAAAAAAAAGAGAAATATGCAGATTCTGAGCTAAAACCCATCCCTGAAACAAAAGAACAGGACTGTCTTTTGTACCTTTGTATGATTGTGACTGACTAAGCAATTTTTGTGGCTCAGCCGTTGAATTGTCATGCTCACTACAATTTTCAGTCACACACACACACAGACAGACAATCACACATATTTGCAACAGAGGAATAGCAATTGTTACCCACTGGAAAAACTACACTCATTCAGGTCAAGGACTTGTTATATGACCTACTTTTTTATTGCATTTTCACCATAAAAAGGGTTTAAAAAAAGGGGAAATGAGCACACTTAATCAATGTGTACAAATGTGTTGGTTTGCAGTAAGCATTTGCATGCCAAGTAGAGCAGAACAAGTGTTTACCAGGCGCTTTTTAGGTTAGGATATTTTGTCCCCCTGGCAGACAATCTAGTGCTCTTTAATGCAGGGCAGTGACCATTAACAGCTCTGTGTCATTGGAACAGGTTGTTCTGAAGCAGCTGTTGCAAACACTGTGTGGACTGAATCACAAAATTCTTGAGCTACAGAGCTTAAAGTTAATTTGCTATCATGTTTGTCTCACCTGTAGAAGGCATGGGTTTCTGTGATGGCTCGGTACAGTCCACTGGCTGCCCGGTTACTTATCAGCTTGAACAAAAGCACCACGCTGTCACTTGTGTCCTTGGTCACTGTTAGGTACACAGTTTTCCCTGACTGGGTGGCGATCTGGATGACTGGATAACTTACTCTAAAGATACAAATAAAGAAGAATTTGTCACATAAAGCAGACATGTTTTTTTTTTTTTTAAACCTGCAACTTTGTACGTCCTGTTACATGACTCATGCAAGAATGCATCGAGCTATTTGCCAACGTTTAGGTATAGCGTACCTGTTGACTAAGCTGAAGTCCTCCTTGCAGATGGCAATCCCCTCCGGTCCGACCCCAATGGCCAATCGTTGGCCGTTTGCGTCACGAACCCAGTGCCATTCCACACCGTAATGCTCCAGAGAGGATACCAATTGGAGGGCCTGGTACTCCACAGATCCCTGACTTGAGCCCTCCAGAGCTTTGTGTCTGGAAATGATACTGCAGGAGAGAGATACGAAAAGGGGAGAAAAAGAAAACTATTTATTATTTTGTTCTCCAGCCGAGATTGGGAATGACATTCTCTGACTCAATACATTTCCCTCAGATAATCGAACAAGCAGGATCACACACTGTGTGAAGCTATAGGTGAATAAACCTATAGCAGGATAAATGCACTTCTGGTGCATTTTTCACTGTCAAAGCTGATTTGCACCCACAGGCAGAAAGCTCTGATGTTAAACTGGTTATTTTTGGGAGAACTATACTTTAGATCAATGGTCAGGCACAGCAGAGCTGAATGCTTCTACTAGGCAGTGAGGCCTGCTCATTTCTACAAACTGTGGCTTCATGATGTTTGTGTACCTGCTGCAATGTCCACAGTTCATCGTCAGTCGTTTTGTTGAGTTGTCTCACTTTTGTTCTCTCCTCAGGTTTATTTTATTAATGTTAAACCATCAAGGGTTTATAAATAGATCCCAGTATGACAGCACAGTCAGACTAATGTGTTGTTGCTTTTAGACAGTGAGGCTCTGTGCTGCAGTTTTGAATAGTCTGAACAAAGACATGTTATTGCACAAATGTGATTCCTAAAGGGTCTTTAATTAAATAGTTCTGTCACATGACATTATCATCATCATCATATGCAGCAGCTCTGTCAAAATTAAAAACAGTGTTGTGCTCAGGGTGTTTTTTCACTGACCCACTTTTTTTATTGTCTTTATAAAGTTTATTCAGCGGCTTACCACCTATAATCATCCCCTCCCTGCTCATGGCATACAAACAAAGCCTGCACAGTGCACACCACATTAATCAACAATTAGGAGGTCAATTAATAAAGTGCATGGAACATTCATGCAGCGGCATCATTACAAACTGGCTGGGGTTGAGTGTAGGTGAACAGAGCTAGCTCTATAGCATGTATTTACATAATTTAATGAAGCTGGTTTAGCAGATGTGGCTTGATAATGTATAATTAAGGCATCGGAGAAGCAGATGTGCACGACAAATGGTTCTAGGATGCTCTACAAGGCCTGTTTACTACACTGCAGTAAGTCTCGGATAAATTCCAGACAGTAGCAGTTTGAAAAGTGCGATCTAATGTTTACACACTTCTATAGAATCCATCTTCACAAACTCAAAATACTGCAACTATGAAACTTTTGTCACCCTCGTGTTATTTACAGAGAAAACAGTGAAGATGGAGGTTCTGTCAGTGCAAACATGCTACGTGATCTCTCCTGTCAGCTGCCCCTTTTTGGCTGAACAGTGAGTATGTGTGTGTGTGTGTGTGTGTGTGTGTGTGTGTGTGTGTGTGTGTGTGTGTGTATCTAAGCTAACAAAACGTGTGATGAACTCTTATCTGGTGTCTTTCACCTCCGCAAATCTATGAGATAAAGCAAGGCAGTGCATTTTAAATAAATGCTGCAAGACAAAAAGAAACAAACGCTTCATCTCAGTGTAGCACTCGAGGAGCATGTTTAACTTTACTTAGCATTTTGATTTATTGTGGTTTCTTTTCCTATCATTTCTCAAACACAATCCACCACTTTAATCTATTCTTGGCTCAATGCCATGAGCCTTTGTTTACTTTCTATGGAGTCTGTATGGACTCTTAACTCCCTCAGAGGCAGCTGAGGGCAGGGATTCTAGAGATCGGACACATACGGACGCAGTAAATGATTGGCTAGCTAGATGTTGTAAAAAGTTGTCCTGGTCACTCTGAGGTCAGAGCGTCGTACCTGTCCGTGGTGGACGAGCTGGGCTCCTCTCCGCACAGTTCAGAGTACCAGTACTGTGCTGTGTTTTGGTTGTAGTCGCCGAACTCGGCCTGTGCCAGCAGCGCACTCAGTTCTTCTGCTTGTTCGGAGCCCATGCGCAGGTGACCATTGTGGAGGTCTTCCTTCACGTGCATGAAGAAGACGTGTCTGGTGGACAAGGAGAGAAGAGAGCAGTGGTCAAAACATGATGTGGCAGGCAGAAACTTTAGCAAGGGTTTCAGATGAATAAATGCAACACAACAACAACAACTGCAGTATATTCTCAGCAGCAGAATGTGAAATATCACAGTAGTATCATACTGAGTATCAAATAGTGCAGAAGTCATCACATCAGTGCCAACTTGCAAACTCTGAAACACAATACATTTATGCAGGAACAGGTAATATGATCAGCTCCGCCATAGAGGAGCCAATTTTTCAAACAGTGGCTGCTTTCATAGTTCATCGGACTGTCATCGTGTGTAACCATCAGGAGTCAGCACGTCTGCAGCACACACAGGCCAGAGCAGGAGGTCGTTACAGGGATAGAGTTTCACCACAGACAGCTGGTGTTTGTGTGGGCGCAGAAGTGGCAAAAGCAACTGTGACAGAGTTCAATACCCTTTCTGCTTCACTTTCCCCTTTTTCAACCTCTTCCTCAAAGCACACTAGCGGAGCTTCCTTATAAAGGCAATTTAGTACAGGCTCTAAAAGTGGAAGCAAAGTAGTCAGAGGGGCCCTGCAAGACTGAGTGGGATTTTTTTCTCTTTCTTGCAGATGCTTGGACTTTGACAGTGCCTGCTGACTTTGTGGAGAAAAACATCCGGTTTGCATCTCTTAAATCTGTGGCTCATTGTCAAATATGTTGTTAAATAACCTCAAGATCATGCATGATGTCCATTTAAAGTCAAGTCCACAAATGTTTTTTCCCCTGGTATAAATAGGGATTGTTGCTGAAATTGAGTTAGCTTTATCCAGTGAAAGTTGAGAAAATGGTTCAAAAGATTTATGGTGGTCATGAACAATTGTGATTGTTTGGTCTGAACTATTATACGAGTACATCGAGTACTTGTCAGGCGAAGAAAAACGGCTCAATTTTTCAAATAAATAAGCTACGGCAGGTCCTTTCCATTGTTTTGACCACAAGATGTGAGGAATTCTTGCTACACGCAGCAGGAGACACAATGTGGAGAGGAGAAACACCCTGACATCATGAACTTAAGTAACCTGAGCAGCAGATCCCTCCTTTGGTCGACCTCTGGCACAGTAACCCTAAGAAGATTGGACAGGCACCAACCAGCCTTACAGTCACCTGCTTTTGAAACAAACCAGTCGGACGGCTTTTTGGTTGTTGACTAGACGGGATCCTGTTAGTGGAGTCATCATTAATAGGTCTAAGAGAATTAAAAAAACAAGTTAACTCAACATCCTGCGTCAAAAGTTCAACTCGCAAAACAATTTAAAGTTAAAGGAAAAATAGCAGATTTTTATTTTTTTTATGTGGCACTTAAAAGCCAACATCCCCTAGAACTGCTTGTTATTTTTTGAGAAAGAAAAAAAAACTCCCTGAGGTCACAGTTACTCTTTGAAGCATGATGCAAAGTGAGACATTTTTTAATTTGTGCAAATTAGGTCACACTAGGAATTAAAGGGATTTAAAAGGATATTTACAGGGTTTAAAGGGCTACTTTGAGTCAAACAAAAAAAAAAAGAAGATAATTCTGACTCCATAGAGTTAATTTAAATCCATTGTTTTGTGGAAAAAATTGAAGCAGTGCCTCACTGGAACTAAAGACGACACTGGGATGAGTCCATGTGGGCTTTTACACTCACAGAAAACTCTGGATATTTGCAGCTGCATGTGTTGTAAGTGTTAAGTGCAGGTGTTGTAAAACCTGTAAGTAAACATGTTTAGTAATCCTGATCTAGCAGGGCATCACTGCTGGTAGAATAAACTTTTGTGTATTGTGCCTTGTTGGATATGCAACAAATGGACACACCTCTTCCAGTCTGATTCAGCGAGCTCCCAAAGGAGCAACAACAACAGAAGCAAGAAGCAGCAGCCGTGAGGCACACAAACAGAGCCAGTCTACACCGGCCCCGATAAAGCACTGACCATAACAACGAAGCCCCCGTAGCTGACTAGCCTCAGGCATAACAAACAGCGCTTTGATATGGTGTTAAACATCCCATTCCCTCCAATGAACACACACACACCAACAGTGCGCCCTATTGTGTCGAGCCCAGCAGGCGTCATGTGATGGAGCACTGCTAGTTTAGCTACCTGCCTGACGCAAACAATAGGGCTGATTTGACTGGGAGGTTACTACAGGTTGCCGACAAAGGGGTTATGATAGGGCAAAGCCGCGGAGGTTACTAGAGTCCAGGTAGAGGATTGGCAAGAGGTTAATATCGGCTAATGATGAGCAAGGCATCAGATATCTTAAAAGCTCCTTTGTTCCAGCCCCAAGACACTGACAAGACGAGTGACTAACATGAGCAGACTTGCCGAGTTTTAACCGCAGTGTTAAAAGGCCCATTTTACCAACCATCTGTCACAGTGTGCAACCCACGGTATGCAACTTTTGGTGAGCATGCTGCTGAGCAAGACTTCTGACACCTGCTTTCCTGCTGTTGTGAAGCAGCCACGAGTGTAAACAGATGCGTGTGCTTTGCTGAGCTCAGGCCAAAAAAAATCCTTTTGATCGTTCAGTAGACAACAGATATTATTAAAAAATAAAAAGCTGCACGGTAGAAGAGGTTAACGGTGCAACTCGCAACAGAGGTAACTACAGTTCACAGAGAGTTGTGTTCCTGCTCGACTTCCCCGAGGCAGCGTGAGACACATCAGATATGCACTGAGAAAAAAAAAAAAAAAAAAACCCACACCATGAAAACATGACTAAATATCAACAAACAGCTGCTCGACAAGAAGATGGTAATAATTTCTCCCACTGAGGCCCCCTGATGTTGCTACTGGATCTGCTCTTAACACGGCCCTCGCACAACATGGGGAACTCACTATTTACTAAGAAAACATGTGAAGCGGTTTTGAAACCGATGACGAAATACTGTTTTGCTTCTGTTTTTGTTCTCTTCATATCAAGGGCTTTAAACACATCTCTATGTGTACTTCATTTCCCTCTATATTAAGAATATAGCTTCCCAGACAGCTGTCCCGGGATCAGTTGTCTCTTTTGCTGAGTCAGCAACTCTCATGGTATTAAGGCACAGGGAGAGAAACAGTCCAAAAATCCATTCAATCCTCTCCCTGCATGAAGTGCCAGGCTGGTGGAACTAAATCGAGAAATGTCATGTTTCACTACCTTTTAGAAATGTTTCCTGAGTAGGCAAAAAAAATACAAGATTCACTTTTTTAAAAAGCTGTTTTTTTAAACGAAACCCATCAGGTTGACATGGTAACCAAGGTGACAAGACAAGAGACAGCAGAACCGATAACTGAAGGCCATGCTCAACCAAACAGGCATTCAAGCAGATGATGGTCTATTCAGACGGTATGACTCCTGACTGTCCTCTCCGTCAGGCCAAGTCACTCTCACACGGTTAGACCAGAGAACACTTAAATCTGTCCATTGCTTGGACGCGATGATGCCACACTGCATCAGACTCTCCCTCTTCAGAAGCCGTTTCTCTGCAGCCTAGACATCTCTGTAGGATGCTTCAGCCGCCCTTTTCACCTCGTCGAGGACTCACACACACGTTACTAATCAGACAAACTGTGCACGCATCATCACAGAGTCATTCTAGAAGTGTACTTCAAAACGCGGCAGCCTCTTTAGTGTTGGCTTGTTGTTTAGTCTGACCCCTGACTAATATGCAAGACGCAGACTGAATGCCAGGAAGTCTGAGTCGAGACCAAAGTCTCCTGGCCTACTTCCACTGTGTTATGCTGCATTCAGCTCCATCATTGTTGTGGCCTTCCTAGATAACCAACAATCATAGTCTTAAGAGGCTTGTTTATTCACAGTCCTGGTAGCCCTGTGAATGCCAACATTACAAGGGAAATAAAAGCTCTCCAAAGCAGTGGGCAGGGGGAGTTTGTGTATGTGGGTGCTGCTGTAATGCTGACCCGATTGCCTTGCTGGAATAATTCAATTAAAGCGAGCCTGAACTCTGAGAGAAAAAAAATAATAGAAAAATAGGTCAGTCGCAAAAGAGCTGAACTTGGGGGACCAGGGTGAGATAATTTGATTTTTTTCCAGTTAATTCTTTTGCTCAGTATATCACAAAATGAAAAACGGATATACATTTTAGGAGACAATTTGATAAATCTTTACATGTCTTTGTATTTACTCTGATGCTAGAGGGAAGAAGGCACAAGGAAACATTTCATCCAAGTAGTCACTCATCATAAAGTCTAATAAACTCAAGTCTACTCCACCCATCTCCTCTTTTACACATCTTTTCTGCCCTAACCCAGTGTCTATTCCTTCTGTGGGCAGCTCTGCCGCACAGAAGAACAAAACGTCCCCTCAATCTGAAACCTAACACCTCTGCCTGGAGACTGCAACCCTGTCCGGCCAATCACACGCTGAGTTTCAGTCCTCATCACTATGCCTTTCAACAATGTGGTTTGTAAGCTAGTCAAATATCACACTGCCAGTAGCTGTGTGCTCGCCGAGGTTACTATGTGTCAATGAACTTTAGTAAACTCTGCTGAACATCTTCAAGGCGTGGGCACAATGGAAAGTCAGAAACACTTGTTGCAATACAAACAATAATTTCAAGCCTTGACTATAAACACATGATACATCTTAGGCTCTGAGCTCAGATCTAAACAGCAATAAAACAAAGATGCTGTTTGTATGCTGAACGCCTGCTGCTCTGTACTGTGGGGTGAAACTGTAATTAAAAGGGCTGCACTGATCCTCCTGAGTTAGGACGCTGAACAAATATAATAATTTTGTCATTCCTGGACAAAGGCTAATGTTATGACTTCAAAATCAGGGCTGGGTTACTCGAGTGCACAACAGGCACAGGAAACTTGCAGGGAGAGAAAAAGTGAGTAATTACCATCAGAGCATGCTGAGAAAAGCTTCAAACAAGCTTTATGTGTGATCTTTGGCTTGATCCTCTCTGCAGTCTGGGAGCTTTAAGTGATAAATTCTCTGTGACGTGAATAAATTAACTCAAGTTGCAGAACATTGGGTCGAATAGGGTGTGCAGGAGAGATTTTATGCTTCTTTATGAGTATTCTTGGATTGGAACTTGTACCACACCTGATTTATGGAGAAAATAAACTGTAGTGTTGTTGGTACATCAATACAAAGTCTTTTTTTATGAATTATTTTCTCAGCTGACCAATTCTGTGAACACTGCGTACAGTTGGAACTTGTCCCACGATACACTAGGGGAGAGGGGCAAGGGAACAGCCAGACAGATTGATATTGTGATGCAAGGCTAACTCACAGACCGGCAATGCATTGACTTCTATGGAGTCTCTGGTCCTTTTTGACCAGCGTGTCTTTGAACTGACTGATTATATAAGGAGAGAAAGATTCCCGTCCTGTGAGAGCAATGACTTTTTCAACAGATTGGGAATGAGGAGACGCTTTAGGAAATGTTTGACTTCGAGACTAAAAGGAAAGCTAAAAGACAAACACACATATTCTCATAGTGTTTGCTATTCTTAGTTACTTTGATGACAAAGGTCAAGCCCTTACATTTTCACATGTGAATTTGTTAGTGAGGAGGTCTTTATTAGTGGAAAACTGCCATTTTAATGAAATATAAGTAAGAAAATATGATTCCTTGGTTAATACTCATGTTGCACCTTGTTTGAATTTCAGTTAAAGATAAGCTAACTCCCAAAGGGGTTGACAGGTTAACAACCAGGACCTCAGATAAAGCCTGTACTAATAGCTGTGCCCCTCCACAGTATCTACTGTTTGCCTGATCAGAATGTTAAATACGAGGTCTAATGAAGGGGAAACATTCACGTATTTAAAACCAGAAACTACCCCCCCCCCAGCAAGTGCTGGTTAATGATGCAGATAACACGGGGCTGTTGTTGAGGCCCTTCGGTCGGTGTTCCTTCACCAACACAAAGTGTTACTTCCTAATGGATGGCAGTTACATGACATGAGCCGATATGTCACGGAAATACAAATGAGATGTTTTTTATAAAAAAACCTACATTCTGAAAACTGTTTGGGTCCATAAAATGGAATAAGAATCATTTGTCAAAGACAGTTTTAAGAAAGTTTCAGTGCAAAACAAACCGAACCATTGGAGAGATTTGAATTGCCTTGATTCAGTCTTTGTTCAATGTGGCGCCTTCAGAAGCCCAAAATAGAAGGATTAGGCTTCGCTAAAAAGAAAGTGCATTACTGACACAGAACGCTTGGAAATACTATATGGATGAAGGAGATTCTAAAAGCAATGAGATTAGAGAAAAAGAGCTTCAAACAGAGGACACGGCTGACAGAATTCTGTCAGAAATATATATATATATATATATATATATATATATATATACACACACACACACACAGTATATATGTGGAGGGAAGCATATCAGCATCAAGCGAAGAAGTCTGTTAGTTGTGTTATACTCTGTTTTTCTGTGTATGAATGTTCTTTGGTGGGACTTGTCTGTTTGGACAGTACGGTGCTGTGGAAAAGAATTTCCCCTTGGGGACAATAAAGTCTAAAGTCTAATCGAAAGTGTTTGTGATGGATATTAGTCCTCATAACCGTTTTTATGATCAGACAGTACCCAAAGCTTTAGCCTGGACATCACATCCTCCAGTAGTAGAGGGGCCAAACTAAAGAAGAATGTAATTAACACAAAGTAGTGGGCTGCATGTGAGCGTGCTCACACACTGATGTGTGTGCAGGGCTTTACGTGGCAGCAGAGTACACTGTGCTTATATAAGCGGCTCTGTGCGCGCTCAGTTCAGGCAGGTTATGTAATAAAGGCCTATAAAACGGGCGTGGGGGAAAAGGGGCCCACCCCCTCAGCGCGGCTCAGAGTTGGGCTACTGTACAGACTCTTTAGCTTTGTCCACACTCTCAAGCCCAACGTGAGCATACAGCTGCTCTTTGCAGAGGAGCATGTGCCAAAAGGAAATGTGCGATAGAGGAGAATTTTCTGTGGTTTCCATGAAGAGGTGCGTGTCTTCAGTCAGAATGAGTTGTGTGGAGGCTGATTTATCCTAAGTAGGTCAAAGGGGACAGCAATGGAACAAATTTATTTACACTGCTAATTTAATTAAGGGCTAGAAATTGTAATTCATAGTTTACAAATGAAAAACACGCTCTACCACAAACCTTGGCCAATTTCACAAAACTTTATGAACCTTGTAAATTCAGTTTCAGGGCTGTGTTGCACAGAATAATACCTCCGCTGTGTACCATTTATTCTGCTTTCATCTGTAACTGTTGCCCATGTTTGCAACCCTACCATTTAAATAAAGACAGATGGATGGTATGCAGCTTACGCCAAAATCAAAACACACAACTAGACAGCATGTTGATTTGTACCACGCCATGTATTTATTTATATATTAGAGGCAACCCCACATACCCTCACATCTTTATCTCACCTTTTCCAGTCACCCTGTGACCCCCACCCCCACCCAGCCATCTGTTGATAACCCCCCGCTAATCTAGTAGAGGTCAGGGCACAGGCTGCCAAGTGTCCTCCACCCTCACACTCTCTGCCCCCACAAGCCTTTCACTTTTTCCCCTCTTCAAAAGATTGCCAAATACGGGCCAGAGTCGAGTCGGGGGGGGGGGGGGTGAGACAGACATGAGAGGAAGTGGGATCACTGACGGTTTTTTTTCAGACAGCAATGACAATATGGCAGGAGAGAAAAACTGAACTCTTTATATTTGATAAGAGACAGAGGAGGGGGTGAGAAACAGCAGAGGGGGAGGGGGCAGTGGGTGAACTGGGCAGACACCGAGTGCCAAATGGACTGCCAGACAAATTACCGGCCAATGCAGATACATGTCAGTTTAATGAACACTTCTCGTGGCACGCTGTGTGTGTGTGTGTGTGTGTGTGTGTGTGTGTGTGTGTGTGTGTGTGTGTGTGTGTGTGTGTGTGTGAGAGAGGGCAGCGTGGCGGAGCTTAAAAAGACACCAAACAAATTTGCTCCCCCTCCAGTGTGCCCCCCTCCCCCGTAACATGCCTGCAGTATCAAACACTCGCAGCATCGCCCGAGGCAAATATAACATCCACGGGAGATGCAGTTTTGTTTTTTTTTGGACAGCTTCAGACGGCTGTTATTTATAGCTTCAAACAAAAGCGGGGGCTGGGGGAACACCGAGTCAGGATGGAGACTTGTCAAGGCATGTTTCTTTGTTCGGTACTGATGGGTTTTGTTTCAACTAATCTGGCAGATGGAAGAGAAATAGGGAAGCTGTAACTCTAACTTATTTGCCAAGATTATTTCTGGTGATTTGGTTTTGACAAAAGGCTGCATGAAAATTCTGCATGCTTTCAATTTTAGTTTTGTATCTCTCCATGGATACCAGCTGCAACAGTTACTCTATCAATGGTAACATATATCAAAACGGTAAACACCGTACGGCCAGTCCCATAGTTTCCCCAACAGCATCTGCAAAAATGTCAAACAGAGGGCTGCGCTTTTGTTTCGACCAAAAATGAACACAAACAATTGAAACAAACAAAAAAAAAAAAGTACAACAAAAGTTATTCTTAGTTGAATGGGGGCAGTGACAGAGGTCCTGGCTGCCACACAGAGGGTCCCTGGGGGGCAGACAGAGCACAGAGCAGCACACAGCTCCCAGAGCTGCTGGATCACATTTCCTGCCTGGAGCTGGAGGATCTAAAACGACCTATAATAACCCCCGGAAGAGCTGGGGGAAGAGGTTACTACAGGACACTACACTGTATAGGAAACAAGTGTTCAGACTACGCTAGGGGAATTCAGTATCGACGGTTTGTTTTGACCCAATGTGTCTTCCTCATTGTATATGAATGTAAAATATTTGAATCATTAAATCAACACTTGTGCAAGTTGACAAGCTGGTTTGCTGGTATTTAGTGGAGATTAACACAAAAATAAAGTGCTTAAATACTATGCTTATTTGCCCATGAACTAATGCGATCATGTGCCAGATTTGCCCACCATATTTCTGCAGCATGTGAGCTGGTAAGCATACCTCGTCTGTTCCTGCAGAATCAGATGGGGCTCCACAAAGAACTTGACCCGCAGCCTCAGTCGACACGGCGTCAAGTTATCCATCTGCTGGCATATGCGGTTCCTCAGATTCAGCCACAGGTTCTCGCCTTTGCTGCCAGTGAACTGCAGCCCAAAGTAGTCCACTTCTATTATGCCCAACTTTCTGCAAACCTGGTCAGAGATGAAAGACACAATAGTGGATTATGGCACAGAGAAATTCAAATAGGATCCTCAAACCAATTAAATGGTGGCAGGGGGATGTCTTAGAAGCTCATTCTCAAAGCAGCAAAACAAATTAAGTTGAGGGGTTTGACAAATGTCTTTAGGGAAGACAACCCATTTGGACTCTCAAGTTACCCAAAAGGAATCGGTGATGATTTTGCACAAGATTTGCACGTGGCTTAAAAAAACAAAAGTGCTTTGTTCAATAGGATTTCTACTAGGCTACAATCCCCCAGTGTTACTCTCACATAGATAAATCCCATCAATATGCTGAGGACTCACGATAGGGAGGAAGTGAATTTGGGAGGCTCTCCCGGGGTAAGAGGGGGGCTCATCAAACCCCTCAATCCCACGCCCCCTGAGCGGCGGTAGCCATGAGGTTATTACATAACTGCCTGGTGGAGGTCTGCAGGGAGCCCGGAGGCTGGGGATAAATCTCATTCAAACCCACGGCAAGTTGGGGATGTGCCATGCATATGAAATAGCTTTTCATTTACTAAGAGAAGAGGGGAAAAAAACAACTAGGGGCTTCTGATGAAAGAAGAAGTTCGCGTGATACTCTGCTCATGTCCACTGTGTGAGGAAAATCTTAAACGACTGAAGTTGAGACTGAAGTTTCAGTTTGAGTTGGAGCTCCGAGTGGCTGCTGAAGAATGAACTCTAGTAACCTTGACCAAGCCATCTGCTTCTGACTAGTTTGCCATGCAGGTAAAAGAAAACGCCGTGGCAGTTTTAACACCATGGTACTTTTTCTGCACCAAGTCACATGTTAATACCATGAAATCATTTTGTTGTGGAATTTTTTGGGGGGATGTAACTCGCAACAGAACATTTTGTTTCCGCCATCCCCTATATGTGCAACAATGAAGCAGATTTGTCCACATGGTGTTTTGCTAAGTTTTTGAAGATTTTTTCCCCCAACAATCATCGAAAACACGCGTATTAAAGTATTCCTATATCGTGCAGAAAGTGTGTTCAAACCCTGATGTTATTTACAAGAATATGAGTCATGCCGAAGCGACGGCTCCATCAACATGAAGTTCCGTAAAAACACAATTTTAAAGTTTGCATGACAACTTTAGGGCATCTATCCCGTCTCATATACACTTTGTATTTAAAAATAAAACATTATTTAAAAAAAAAAAAAAAGAAACAGCCTACCTTATTCAGACAGTCTTCACCATTCGCCTTCGCATCAACTTCCACTTCCATAACCACCGAATCCGGACGAGTAACGTGGCAGAGCATTTTGGCTGTGTCTGTGTTTAAATCTTTGGTGTGCCACTCATCAAAAAATAATAAAACACTCCTCGAGCCTTCTTTTTAAAAAACCCTACATCAAGCCCTCGTCACTTTCTCAGCCTTTCCTCTCCGTGTGGCGGATCTGAAGCCACCAGCTGTAGTCTATATCAATGAAATGCCATACACGGCACCGCCTACTTTGCAGCTGTCCAATGACGGACGACTTGACATAAGCGCTGAAAAGGCTCTGACAAATAGGAAGTCGTGTTACATTGACGAGCTGTTCTGAGCTCCCGTGCCTGGAAGTGTGAGGGGGCTACACTGCGCCCTCGTCTGGCTAGCCTGTTGCAGGGACTTGAAGTAGCTTTTCAACTCACCTGCTCCTAATGATTTAGACATTTCAGCGAGCTTCAGCAGACTTCGGGGTGAGTTTAATGGCTTATATACGGTTCTTCCCCCCCTCGGTTTTTTTTGTCAATAATGAATGGGAATGTCCAGAAATAGCTTTAATAACGGGAATCTGCGTCACTTGCTTTCATCTACAGTCTCAAGCTCTCATGAAATTTTCATGATGGCAGTCCTGTTGTGTTAGAAACTCACTTCCTTTTTTACCACATACACTTTTGTCAAATAGCTGATCTATTTTTAAATTTTTAAATCTATTTTTTGTACATTCTTTATTTTTCTTTTTTTTAAGTTTAAATTTTGCTGTGCTCACTTTTTTTGCAATCTTTGCTCTTTGCTGCTGTAACAATGTAAATTTTCCTGTTGTGGGATCAATAAAGGATTATGTTATGTTATCTTATCATATATTATCTTATATGTCTCTTCTCTTACATGCGTTACACCCGGAGTGACCCAGGCCAATTCCAGTCTACCATTTTGAACTATAGCCTCCTTATCCAGTTAAGGAACTAGATTATATAACTGTGTTCAGTTTGATATGCGGTGTAATCAAATCACAAGGAGATTACTTTGATGTGTTTTCTGACACACAGACACATTTGAAGAAGCTTTAACTTTACCCTGACCTTGAATTCTGCTTGGTTGCTCAGTTGGTGGTCATTGGTTATAGCCACCACTTCACAGACTTGAAAACTATGTAACAATGACATTTCTGGCTAATTAATTTTTTTTTTTTTTTTTTTTGACAGAGCATTATTCTTTGTAGCTCCTGCAGTAAGAGGCCAGCTAGGCCAGACAAGACTGCAGAGAACTCCAGCCACGTGCTAATACTTGCATTTAGGAAGGCATGGTGTGCGGCCAAGCCCCATGTTTGTCTGCCAGGGGACATTTCAGAGTACAGTGTGCCTCCATATTTTTGGACTCTCCTACCCCTGCATTCCTGACATAGCATCAGTGACTCAGAGATACAGCAGGACACAAAATGAGCCCCTTAAAGATGATCACTTAACCATTAAAAAAATGTAGGCTATACTGAGACTTCACTAAAAGTGAGTGGAAGATTGGATTAGAGATTAACACTGTGAGGATGTTTTGTGTATGTTTCTGTCTCTTTATGAGGATGTTTTATATCAACTGGTAAAGATACAAAAAATGCTGATAAGAGCTATACAAACTGAGTGATGCACTTAGTAATTTACAGTGAGTAATGTGTGTTAAATTATAAAAGGTAGGGCTAAACAAAAGGCTTAATTAATATGGGTGTGAAATGATAATGATGAAATCAATTTGTTTGACATGTTTAATGTCAAACATGCATCGTAATTTGTATTTAGTATCTGTGTGTGAAATGCAACTTTATAGGGAGGTATTGTTAAATCTTCAGCTGATTTTGGATTATTGCTGTGACTTTCTCTCCAACTGAATTAAATTCAAAAGTGGTCAATAGATGCCATGAGCTGTAACACGTGTGTATCTTTCTGTGTGTTAAATGGTCACTCAGTCTGGAGTGGATAGCAGCATGTGTCCCTTTGCCCTGCGGTGATGTAAGGAGATGAGAAGTGAACGAGCACAGAGACGTGCAGTCTGAGCAGCCTCTCTTAACCATAAATGGGAAAGCATTGAAGGCAGTGAAGCGACCTAACGGCCGCTGTCGATGATGCAGGACTAAAGGTAGTCACTGAGCGAGCGTGAGTGTGTGCGTACAGTCACACACATACAAACATGTACCTTGACTGTACACACAGAGCAACTGCAGGTGCACAGCGGCTGGGAGTTATCTGTGATTCACTTGACATTCAATATTTTACATAATTAATAATAAATATTTGCAATATATATGTTAAATTAGCTATTTATATCACTTTTTATATAAAATAGTACATTTAAAGAAACAGTGCTGATTTTAGAAGCTCTAATTTGGTTCATGCCAATGTAGGTACTTTTACACTCAAGCCATTTTACTTTAATACACAAAGCAACTCAATTATTTATAATTTTTCTAACTGAATACCAATGCAGCAGTAATAGCAAAAATAATTCCAGTCACACAGCAAGTAGAAAATAATCAACATGTATCTATTAAGACTCTCCTTTTGCACATCTAGGTCAACATTTTTTTTGGGGGGTTGGGGATCTTGTTTTTTTTTTTTAACCATCTGACACGAACACGGACCATTGGCAGACTCCTGGTTCGCGGCAAGATATGACATCATGCAGTTTGACATCACTTCCCTTTGAGGCAAGTCACCGCTGACTCGACTGGAGCGTGAAAACATAGCCACGCAGGGGTGTGTGTGTGTGTGTGTGTGTGTGTGTGTGTGTGTGTGTGTGTGTGTGTGTGTGTGTGTGTGTGTGTGTGTGTGTGTGTGTGTGTGTGTGTGTGTGTGTCTGTGTGTCTGTGTGTCTGTCTATGTGTTTGCATGTGGGCACATGACATCACAGCGTCATCACTGCCCCATCTCCATAGCCAAAGCTGTGCCTCTTGAAGCAGATATTATGTCAGCAAGTGCCATGCTAGCAGAGCTGCTGCGGCTGTTGTTGTTTTTGTTGTGGTATTCTTGATTACTTTCCTTTTCATTCCTGTCATTCTGCTTCTTGTGAGCTTAAAGAAGGGCAGCGTCAAGCAGCTGACGGATTAAGCGAAAAAAAAAGAGGGACTCGTGTGCCCAATATGAGGAAAGGCCACAGGGCGAGCAGCTCCTCTGAGTCCGACGAGAATCAACAACAACAGTCGAAGGATTCCTCAAGTCCGTCATCGCCATGTGGAAGTTCACTGGATGAGGATTCATCGTCGGATTCAGACGTGGAGGCAGAGGGTGTGATGAAGAGGAGCCAGAGGTTCAGCAGCTCTTTCAGCCTTGAAGAAGATAATCAGCTACAGCCAAAGGATGAGGACAGTGACGACGAGCTGTCGCAGAAGAACTCTAACGGAGTACCCATCACAGAGCAGGTGGAAGCAGAATTGGCAGCCAAGTGCGTTTTATTGGAAAAACAGGACACTTCCTGTGACACGATTCAACCTCCAAGGTCGGGCTTGTTCAGGCCTCAGGAGTTATGGCTGGCAGTGACAAGATGTCTCTCCCTACGATGGCCCCCCTGTCTGTCAATCAACAGACAGACGAGCAGGAAATTAGCTTACCAAGCGGACCTCGACCAATCCGAGGACACACAGTCGACCGTTAGCTCTGATTCGACCAATGAGAGCTCTTCAAACACGTCCACATCAGATGACAGAGATGTGACTTCGGCGAAACCCGAGGAAAAGGAAGTGAAAACTAGAGGTGTTAAAAGTGGTCCAGCTCGTTTTCTTGGGATTTCTCGTTCCTCCCCCAGATTGCCAAGAGCCAAACAAGCCACAGACTCCGTGTTGGCTTCAATGATCCTGGAAAAAGAAATGTTTTTAAGGATCGAGCTCGTAGACTCGGGCGACTTGAGGGAAGATTTGCGCTACAGGGCTGAGTGGAAGCTGTCAGAGAGAACTAAGGAATTGGCAGAGGGAGTCTGGCTTTCTCGGAGCCAAAAGTTGATGGATTGAACATGAAGTTAACAACTTGGTTGCCTTTGTTGGAATAGTATTTATCATCAACCCATCAAGCTAGATTGCTTATTGCAACTATCAGTAAATTGGTTATTATAATCATCAAATCGAAGTTTGTTTTATTCCTGATTAAAAGCGGCTTAGATTTCAATGAGTAATCAGTGAGATTGGTTTGCATGATGGCTGTGTGTTGATCCATGCGCTCGCTGTTGCTTACTAATTAGAAAGGCTATTTTCAGAAACGCAGCACAGTCGGAGTTAATGTTTGTTTTTTCTGCCTTTCTGGATCTCTCAGAGAACATTTTATACATGGCTGGTTCCATGTGTGGGAGGCAAAGGAGATCTAATAGACTATGTCATGTATTATAAATAAAAGCCTCTTTTGAGATATTTGTTGAATTTTTTTTTTCAAATGAGAATTAATACAAGAACAAATACAGATATATATTAAAGCTTTATGTCAGAGTGGGTAGCCCTCATTGCAAAGTTATGCTTTCCCACAAATGGTGAATGGTGAATTCTCGTAAGGAGAATCTAGAACATGTAGGACGTTTCTTTTTGTGTGCATGCATTGGAGAAGTTTCAGTTCACACACTAGAGTTTAGCTGCAAAGAAGGATCAAACGTTATCATGAGTCAGGGCTATTAAACAAAAACAATGTGTTTTGATGTATACCAAATACATTTGACTCACATTACAGTGTAAACTGATATTTAGATTTAATGGTCAATACATAATTACATAATCCTAATACTACTATTAAAAAAAAAGATTTGTTGGTTTGTAATTTCAAAGACAGCTTTTTAAATGACTTGAGGGGGAAAAAAACTTGGAATTATTTAAATCTGGTTCAACTTTGCAAGAACAAATATTCCAAATAACTTAAACTGTGCGGCAAAGAAATATTCTTTATAAAAAACCTCAAATCAGACAGCCTTTCCCCACTACAGTACAAACAGACAAGTACACAATATGGCTTTGCTTTATTTCTGACAGTCAAGCTGTTAGGCACTTCTTGAAGCCGTCACAAGCAATATAACAATGTGTGACTCCATAATTATAATCCATCATGGCACGTGCAGGAGCATCCTTTTATGCAAAGCTGGAACCTATTTTTAACATGCATGCACAAGCATAACCTCTCTTAGGCGCAAAGGACAAGAATATGCAATTTGCACATGCACATATAATATGCACAAACAGTGCAGAATCTTACCAGTAGTAGTAGATTTAACTTTGACTTTGCTATCATAAAGTATTTATTCATCACACCACCTCTCTATCACCAGTGCATGGTTTTGTATGCACTGCTCTCTTTATTTACCTTTGTTTGCATGTTTAGTTGTTCATAGCTGGCTGTACATTAATGCGGAAGATATCAGATTGTAACAAAACTCATGCAGCCCTTTTGACAGCTTAGTGGAATCCTATAAAAATGAAGCATGGTTGTATTTAGGAGGAAGAGGAAGCATAGCTGCGTGACTTGACTCTCACTGCCTGTTATCCTCATCACCATAATGAGTGCTGCAGGAAAAAGAAAGACAGGAACAGAGGTAGAGGGGATGTTTACACACACACACACACACACACACACACACACACACACACACTCAGTTATTCTGGAAGGCAGTACTCTGAACTGGAAACATCAGCAATGAAATCAACAATTGTTGAAACCATGCATTTTCTTTGTTATAACCTCCATATGCCATTACATTGGAGTTCAGATTTGTGCATGCATATTCCATCAGTTCATTTTAAACTGTATAAGCGGACTGTAGTAGTGGAGGAGTAGGAGAAAAAAAAAGGTGTCAGAGAAGCGCAGCATGTGCATATGTGAAAAGGAGGAGGAAAATGGAAGAAATTGGTCTCATCTGTTGAGAGCCAGGAGTTTGGTCCCCAAAGTGAAAACTGGCAACCCATCATCACTAAAGCCGGGCCTCATTAGGCAAATGATGCATGTATAGCAGATGATGACACATCTTGTAGCCAGTATGCTTCATCATAACTCCTGCCCTCTTTGGTAAAGATTAAATGGGGAATGCACAAATCCTAGAGTCATAGAGTATTGAAATGAGAAAAATGAGCATCCAGGAGACTTATTAGTAATACAATGAAGTTTCTTAAGATTCATTTAACATCTTAGCTGATGTATAAAACATATGATGCATGTAAGCTACTGAAGTAAATCAGCCCTTAATCTTATACATTGAAAGTCAGTAATTAAACGGGTGATCTACACAGTTCCAATACTTTATCGAATTGTTTTTGAATTGTAAGGTCACCTCTCCGTAAGAAGTGAGTTGAATCTTTGTCACATTAAGTTTTTCATGACTTCTTTTTTTTGTTTTTGCAAAATATTCCAGATTGTATCACTATAATATCCTGCTCTGGCTGGAAACACTCAAGAGTGAAATGACAGCATGGCATTTGTCAAGACTGCAAGAACGAAAACAGAGAAGCGTCCCTGAGAGAGGGACAGTGTATGAAACGATAAGTTTCCTCATTCCTGGTTCCCCTCAGTCATTCTTAGGAGTGTTTGTAAACCGTGCTGGAAGGAGCCGTCCCCAGAGATGGTTATGTAAACGTGGGATGGCCTGCAAATCCTAGCAGAGGACGCACGCCTCAGCCGCCAAAGGACAAATGTGACTCCATGGAATTTTGAAGTCTTGGGAGGCTCGCCAGACAGTAATTGCTTTAACTCTTTAGCCTGTAGATGCATTCTATTAGATTTAAAGCTTTGGGATAAGCCATTATGCTTCACCCTTAAAATGAGGGACTACTACTGCTGCTGCTGCTGCTTTTACAAAATGAATTCTGATTTAAGCCTTCATTACCTCTGGGTGCTCTTTCAACCAAAGCCCTAGATAATCTTGAAATATATGATATCAAAAAGTCTGTCTCTCTTGAAAGGCTTCAGGTTGAGTAGGTAGGATCCCAGACAATACCGATGATAGCAATGAATGTGACTCAGCAGCTGGCACTGTCACCTTTACAGCATCAAGGTCCAAAATTCAATCTCTGGCCCTTATCCTTCCTTGCTTTTTTCAGTTTTTTCATGGAGGTTTGCAGTGGAGACTCTAACATGTGTAAGTCATCGCTCAGGATGTTATCCCTTTCACCACCGAATCGGAACCTGGTTAAAAAAAAAAATAATAATACAGTCATCTCAAGAATTATTGCAAAGTGTTTCTAACACAACTATCTCTAACACTTCCTGTAGAAGGTGCATTTCTTCATCTCTAATCATGTGTTGTAGTGTTAACACCATGCAAGAAGTAAGGGAGCCGTAAAATGCAAGCTAAGCACTTCTCAGGACGATGTAGACAGAATGAGGCCAATTTTAAAAAGGAACTCCACATACTTCTGTGTAATAATACTTAGGGTTTATTTTTTTGCTATACATGCTTATTATTTGACTTCTGTTAGAAGCCCAGGTATCCTGTGGATGTGTGTGCTCTGAAGGTAAATCTGTGTGGAATTACCAAAGAAAAAAATTAAATTCTCTAACTGGACCTGCATATAAATGTTTAACCAAGGAAAAGTGTTTCATGTGTTTGTGTAAAGTGAAGTTACCCCTTTCATCCCAATGCACTTTGCTTCAATTATACATTATGGATGAATCAGCTGTGTGTGTTCCAGAGCATGCAGATGAGACTCAGGTGTGAGCTTGCTGAAGTAGAATAATAGCATGGCACGGAGGGGCAGAGGGGACACTTGACTCAGGATGATGAATAAGAAGGTTGGGGGTCGATGTTGTTGGCGTTTCTGTACATGGTGTGTATCTGAGGAGGACAAAGAGGGGTGTGATGGATGATT